GGCTGCAACAAACTCAACGTGAAGTTGAAAGAGCTTTAAAGCATTTCATCATGAAAATCCGCAAAGAAGGTAAAAAGATCAAGGAAACTCGGACGCCCCTCTCATCCTCGCTGCGATCGTATAGAGACTAAGTGCTCACTCATACAATCCAATTATCGTTATGTTAAATTATAAATATTAAGAATTCATTCTTCCTCATAATTAAAAAAGACGTTTGCATAATTATAATAAGCAGTGTTCACATGTAGATACTTAAAGTCCAAAAGCAGGGCTTTAGGCTGTTAGCAATCAAGAAACAATATTCGATTGTAGATACGAAATACCTAATGTGATGGTCGCGATGATAATCACCAAAATGTTAATTGAGTTTATTTAGCTTTCTTCGACTCTCAAATCTTCATACAAAGTGTAGCCCCCTATCTTTATAGCTTATCAAAATCAAATTATATATTAGCTCATTGAATTCATCTTGTCAAGTCCTAATATTGAGTATACCACGCAAATTAAAGATATTGCTCCTTCAATAATGTACTTAAAATTTTAATTATCTTTTAATGCCTCATTTGAGATAATTTGGATTCAGATAGATCATTTGTGATTGATTAGATATTCATTCCCTATAAATTGTTGAAATCTAATTTTTTATAGCCTTTAATTAATTTTTTTGAAATTTTTAGTTTTATATTGCCTCAAATTCATGCACATAAGTGAATATTTTGGAGAAGTATAAACTCTAACATTAAAAATACTTTATAATAATTTTAAACATATAATATTTGAAGAATATTTATTAGTAATAATTCACTGGATTACAAAAAAATATTATTATGTGACCAACTGTTTATAAATTAAAATAAAATTATATATATATATATATATATATATTCATCTTAAAACAAAATAATTTAAATATTTTTGGTAAACAAGTAATTAACGCTCGCTTAAAGACATAATTTAAGAACCAGTCAAACGGTCACTTAGGGTAAGTCATATTTTTTCGATCTTGGGGAATCCAACGGTCCTCTGCGTAACTTGGGGCGGAAGCCAAATCTGGCTTTGTTCGCTGGTTAAGAATCCGATAAATTCCTTAAACAGCGAATACCAATTTTGTCCCACTACTAAATGCCACGTGGAGACAAAAATGGCATCTTCCTGTCGCACGCGCGAAACTCAAAGCAGGCGCGTCCTTCCACAAGCTCGACGTCTTCCGTGGTCGCAAAGATGGCCAGATGAAATCAAAGGCTCAAAATGGAGGGCGACCCTATAAATTAAAAAGCAGGAGATCTAAAACTAAAAAAGAATAGGGTTTTTAATTTTTTATTTTTGCGTGGTTTCCCCTCCGTTTTCATCACCATCGCAGCCGCCCAGCTCTAGCTCTGCTTGGGGGGGACGGCGAAACTTCACATATGGCATCTCTTACTCTTAAGGAGGCTTCGGAGGGGACTGCGGGTTGTATTATTCTCGAGCTATTTGGCTGAAATTAGTCAGCCTCTGTCATTTAAAGTAAGGTTCTCTTTATCATTGCTGTAGCTCCCATTAACAAGATTATGGTAACGATGAAACTTCGATTCTTCATTCAGGAATTTAGGTGTTCTTATTTGATTACTTTCTCATCTAAATAAAGAGGAGTTTGGTGTTTGAACCTTTTGTTGTTAGTGTTTTAGAGGGATGTATTGTTTTAATTTTGTTATTTTGTGGTGGTTTGAAAGTTAAATTGGCATTTGTTAGCTGTTTTGTTGTTTCTTCTCTTGGAGCTCCCTCTTTTATGGTTGAAGTTGACTTTTAGTTGAAGAATGTATAAAGTTTGCATTTGTTTTTCACTTTTTTGCATTAGGTTGGATGAGTTGTTCATTCTGTCTATCTTCTTAAAATAGCTTACTTTTCTTTGTGAAGTTGGAAAAAAAAAAACTTATGGCACGATTTGCCATTTTGTAGAATCAAAACAGTTTTTGTTCTCCACTGAGTTCAAACATTTTGTTTTTCCTACCCATAGCCATTATCTTCTTGAAAATTAGCATTAGGCAACGGTACTTGATTATTATTTGTGTTTGTTTGTGCATCCTCAATCACTTGGAGCTTTGCGTGTCACCTATAATTCAGAGCAAACACTGATTGCCTACTTTTCTGTTCTTTAACTCATGAATAATTATGGTACGCTGTGATCTTATATAAATAATTAGGATTTTGTTTCTGATAAATTCTTATCATTGTTAAAATGACTTTGTGAACTGCAGAGTAATTTTGATTGCCCTTTGCATAGTTCCTTTCTCAAATGGAATAATTTTATGTGTTTCAGATCTTCTTGTCTTTCATGTCTCTGCTGAGTCTATTTTCTCCAATGTCTTTACCTCTTATTCCCATAATTAAGCATGTGAAAGTAATTTTGGAAGGGAATTATCTTATATCTAAAGCTTGTTGTTCATCTCTTTAAGCAAGCTATCGTTTATTTTATTGGTCTGTTATTGATATGATTGCCATCTATCACATTCTTTATTGATCTGTTTCTTGCTAACCTTACATTAAGGTTCTTTTCATGTCTGATGTCCTGAGATCCTGTTTTTAGTGGTATCTTTCAGTTCATTTGATAGTTCACCTGCTATCTGTAATAACAAAGTTAATACATTAAAGAATGCAGATATAAGTAAATAGCTTAAGGGCATCTCCAACCGAAAAACCCATTTTCCACTCCAAAATGCAGAAAAACTCATTTTTTCACTTTAAAATGTAGTAACTTATCTCCAACCCAACTCCATTTTCTAACACAAAAAAAGAATATTCCTAGTGTATTCCTTCCCATGCTTCATTTTCTAATTAAAAAAAAAATAACGCCAATGTGCACCAGTAGTCAAATAGCGGCAAAAAAGCCTCTTGGATGGAGCGAACAAGAAACGCCATACGTTTGTATGACGTTCCATTGGAGATGCCCTAAATGCAGTCATTCTTCTCCAATCAAACGTCATTTCTTCTTCTTTCGTGTGCTTCCTACGAAGGTAACCATATTTGGCCTGCTTTTCTCCTCTTTCGCACGCTTCTTTGGCAAATCCCACAAATATTTTTTTTGGTGTGGGTTAATAGTTCGACGCCAATATTGTCGTCGCACTGTTCACCTGCCGGAATTTGACGTGCGATTTGAAGTTCTAATGGAGCAAATGGAGGATATATTAGGATATAGGATATTAGTTTATTATTTGACATGCGCTTTGGAGTTTAAATGTTTGGAGATGGTCTATGTCGCAGTTATATTAGGATATAGGATATTAGTTTATTATTCTTCCTAAATATTTATGCTGCTATAGATGATTATATTCTCCATAGCCATATTTCACATGTTATTTGCAAGAAATTATTATGCTGAGTACTCCACAAATGCAGACAAGCAATGAGGAGCTTGCAGATCAGTTGTCGCCGTGTATTCATATGCACCGATCACCATAATTATTAGCCTGCTATTTCATTAGCTAGATGTGTGTTGATATCATGTTTGATGACACATTTTTGAAAAGAAATAAATGATGAACAAAATAAACTTATAAATAAATTACTCATTTCTTGTTTTGAGAATAAAATGTTAGAATGGTGCCTAGATTTCATGGGGAGTTGTTTTAGTCCCAAAACATGTATATCTAATTTAGTCATTTTGACTCATTTAAATTTGATCCAAAATAGTTCCTTGATTTCTGAGCTCTATTCCAAAATAATACAATAATGGAATTATTTTGAATCATATTTACGAAATTAAGTGAATCAATTGAGCTCATAAAATAGTTCAGGGAATATTTTGACATTTTTCTCTATTTTTTCTTCTTTTCTGCTTGAGAGTTGAGTTAGATGTAAGCTTGTTATTCTTATCTGCCTTAGTATAGTTGCCCATTTCTCTTTCTAATTTTCTATGCTGTAAAGGATTAATTAATTATGTTAAATGTGAGTAGCCATTTATCATTCCCCTATTACTAAAAGTTGTGCATTTTGCGAACATTGTGGTGTTTACCTTCCTTTTTGTTCAACAGAATAGGTTCAAAAGGATGTAATATGTGATATAACTTATTGATCAACAATTCTACTTTATTAGCTGTGAGGCTCCAAAAATTGTACTTTGATTTTATGGAGAATTTCATTGATTGTTCTCAGTGTACCCAATTTTACTTTTATTGATCATTGAACTGGTTATCTTAGGCAGTGTTTCACTTGGTTTGGGAATATAGCTTTTCAAGTTTCCTAGCTATTGGTGCCTTTATCCTGTAGATTAAGGTTTTGTTTGGGACAATTTTCTTACTGCTTTCGAAACGGCTTTTTGGTACAAAAATTTTTTGAATTTGATGCTAGAAAACTTACCCCACGTAGTGGAATAAAGGCTTGATGTTGTTGTTGTTGTATGCTAGAAAACTACTTTAGAAAGAAATAAAAAAGTTGTCCCAAATGAAGCCTAAGTTTACTTTATTAGCTGTGAGGCTCCAAAAATTGTACTTTGATTTTATGGAGAATTTCATTGATTGTTCTCAGTGTACCCAATTTTACTTTTATTGATCATTGAACTGGTTATCTTAGGCAGTGTTTCACTTGGTTTGGGAATATAGCTTTTCAAGTTTCCTAGCTATTGGTGCCTTTATCCTATAGATTAAGGCTTTGTTTGGGACAACTTTCTTACTGCTTTCGAAAGCAGCTTTTTGGTACAAAATTTTTTTGAGCTAGAAATTTTGGTGCTAGAAAGCTACTTTAGAAAGAAATAAAAAAAGTTGTCCCAAACGAAGCCTAAGTTCCAGGCTTCTTGAATGGGATCGACTTGCCTTGCGTTATTCGTATATATTATGCTTTCTGCTTCTATATTTGTTTGCCGAAAAATCTGGTACTTTTTTTTTTTTTTGAATTCTTGTAAGAGCCATAATCAATAGATATTATTCAGAATTGCTCGCTACTGCTGCTGGTTTCTTTAATTGATGGTTTGTATTTTTATGAAAGAGGAAAACAATGGAAATAGATAAGCTGCTGCCATTTAGTTCAATACCAAATCAAGTATTATGTTTTTAATTTAGGATGTGAGTCAGTTTGGTTAATTTGATGCTTTGATATCCACTGCTGTTTTGAAAAAAAAAATTAATTTATCAACGTCTTCAACATGCTTTAGATAAGGTGAAGCTAATTGGCTTTAGAAGTTTGAAATGCAATTTCCTACTTGAACTAATTTCTTTTACTAAATTTATTTCTCTTGTAGTCTTTTAGTCGGAGCAAAGTTTTTACTTCTAATAAAAAACTAAGGCTTCGTTTGATATAGCTTTCTTCTTGCTTTCTAAAACAGTTTTTTATTACAAAAATTTCTTGAATTTGAAATTTTTTACTAAAAAGCTATTTTAAAAAGCAATATGAAAGCTGTCCCAATCGAAGCTTAAGTTATTGGAGTTTTTTTTTTTTTTTTTTGGTTAAGAAGAAATGTTAACTTACCTTCCTGATGCTGAGTTTCGTCTATTTCAATTCATTTGCAGACCTACATAAATTCATATATGAACATCAAGTAATTTATCGAAAATGTTGAGGGCAAAGCAGATTAGCCAAATTTCACAGTGTGCCAGGTCTTTTTATCTAAGTGGCCCAATATATGGTACAGCTGATGGTGCCCCAATTTCTTCCTCAGAAGATGAAAAACATGCTTCGAGAAGTCAGTCGAGAAGTTCTGATGTCCTACTTAAGCAACAGAAATCTCATGTCTTCTCTTCACCTGTAACTAGTACAGGTAATACAGGATCTTCCAGTCTCAGAAATGCATTTGGATCTACCATTCAATTAGCTTCGAAGGCTTCCTCATTCCCATCAGCAGCTTCACAAGTCTTCGCGCCTATCTCGTCATTAGGATCAGATGTAAATGCTGTAAATGAAAAGGTTAAGCTGAACATAAATGCTGTTGCTGTTTCTTGCAATGATTTGCCACTTCCATCTAAGGCCAGAGATGATCACGAAGGTGAAGCTGGCAATCCAATTACCAATAAGATGGTAAGTTGTAATGGCCCAGTTGCAGTTAAACAAGCTCTCTCTGATACAAAGTGTTGCAAATCTGACTCTAAGCCGCCAACGGCAACTCCGGAATCATTCTATGAAAAGCCACGTAATCGAGCTAAGTACACAAAGGTTCAGGCAAACTGTTCCACCAACACAGAATGTGGGCCTAGTTCAGTTTCTGCTGTTCATACTGATCCAGCTACTGTACCAGAAAAGTCCAGTACAATTCGAGCTAAGCAGAACAGCCATTCGACGGCCATGAAAATGAAGAAGTCACAGTCAAAGTTCACAAACTCACATTTTGTAGCAGAGAATGAAAGATTATATCCAAATGGCTTATTTTCAGTTGCAAAATCAGCTGGGAGATTCTCAGAAGAAAATGGTGCAGTAGTGGCACCTAATAATCACGAATACGCTCATAAATTCTCACAACCTTCAAAATCTTCAAGATTCCAGCCTGTGGTTTTACAGTCTTCCAAGCATCCTATAAACTCTTTACATACAACAGAACATTATTATCGCGTGTTGCAGCAGCAAAAATGGGGTCCTATGGCCGAAGTTTCTCTGAATAATCTTGAACACAAACTGGATGCATTTCAAGCAAACCAAGTCCTGAAATTGTTGTCTGATCATTCTGTTGCCCTTGGCTTCTTCAATTGGCTAAAAAGACAACCCGGATTCAAGCATGATGAGTACACATACACCACCATGATCGGCATCCTCGGCAAAGCCAGACAATTCAATGCCATGAGAGAACTTCTACGAGAAATGATCAGAGATGGATGTTTGCCCACTGTTGTCACGTATAATCGAATGATCCACGCATATGGTCGAGCCAACTTCATTGGGGAATCTGTTAGAGTTTTCCATGAAATGCAAGAACTTGGTTTTGAGCCTGACCTGGTCACTTACTGCACTCTTATTGATATTCACGCAAAAGCTGGCTTTCTTGATGTCGCCCTCAACCTCTATCAGAGAATGCAAGCGGTGGGTCTTTCCCCTGACACTTTCACCTACAGTGTGATGGTGAACTGCCTCGGCAAAGGTGGCCGACTTGCCGCTGCTCAGAAGATGTATCTTGAGATGATTGAAAATGGTTGTGTTCCTAACCTTGTCACATACAATATCATGATAGCTCTGCAAGCTAAGGCAAGAAATTATCCCAGCGCAGTTAAACTTTACAGAGATATGCAAGTTGCTGGCTTTCGTCCAGATCAGGTGACTTACAACATAGTCATGGAAGCTCTTGGTCATTGCGGTCGTATCGAGGAAGCTGAAGTCGTCTTTAATGAGATGAGGAAAGACTGTGTACCTGATGAGCCTGTTTATTGCCTTATGGTAGATTTGTGGGGTAAAGCCGGCGACATTGAGAGAGCTTGCGCATGGTACTTCGCCATGATTGAGGAAGGTTTGAAGCCGAATGTCCCTACATGTAACTCTCTATTGAGTGCATATCTTCGAGCGCATCGTTTCACTGAGGCTCGTGGTGTTCTTCAAGACATGCTTTGTATTGGACTTGTGCCATCTTTACAAACCTATACTCTTCTTCTCAGCTGCTGCAACTCAGAGATGGTACTGTGCGGCGAGTTAATGGCCATCACGGGCCATCCAGCTCATTCCTTCCTTTCATCTCTACCAAATGCTGAGCCAAGCGGGGAGAATGTGAGGAATCATACAAGCCATTTCTTTGATCTGATGCACAGCGAGGACAGGGAAAGTAAGAGGGGTCTTGTCGATGCTGTTGTGGATTTCCTTCACAAGTCTGGGCTCAAGGAGGAAGCTGGATTTGTGTGGGAAGTCGCCGCACAAAGAAACGTTTATCCTGAATCGTTAAGGGAGAAAAGCAAATCTCATTGGCTTATTAATCTCCATGTAATGTCGGAAGGGACGGCGGTGACTGCATTGTCGAGAACATTGGCAGGGTTTCAGCGGCGGATTCTTGAAGCAGGCGTTAAGCCGTGGAGGATCGATATCATAACTGGATGGGGGAGGAGAAGCAGGGTTACAGGTTCTTCTTTGGTTAGGCAGGCTGTAGAGGAACTGCTTTATCTCTTTCAGTTTCCTTTCAGTGCCAATAGCAATAATGGGTGCTTTGTAGGATGTGGTGAGCCTCTAAATCAATGGCTTTTAAATTCTTATGTTGAGAGAATGCATTTGTTGTAGCTTTTTAGTCCCTCTACCAAATTTTCTATCATTTTGGATCATTCAAATGATAGTTTTTGCGTTGCAGAACTTTTATTACTCGAGTAATTTTGTATAACATTTAGGTTTCACCTAAGTTATTGCCACAATTATTCATGTCAAATCTAAGAATCATATAAAAAAAATCACTCCTCTTCAAGAAACAAATGCAAAATCGAAATCGGAAATTCACAAAAAAAGAAAAGCATGAATCTCGTACATACGTTCCGTGTAATCGGGAAATGAAGGTCGGCGGTGGCCATGGGAGTGGCTAGGACGGCAGGCCGGCGACTTCAAAGGAGCCTATGGCTGCGGCAAAGGTCGGTCGACGAGCCTGGTGTGAGGCTTGGGCGGAGCTACGCCGAGTCGGAAAGATCGAGGAGAATACGGGGGAGAGAGACGATGCAGGTTTTATTTGGAAATTCGCTCGGCTGATTAATTTAAAATACATGTAAATATATTTTTTTGGAGTTATTATTATTATCTGAAAATTTTATATTGCATTTAAATTTTAGAGAATTTATATGCATGACATTAACAATTTTTCAATTTATAATTTATATATTTAATACCTTTACATAATACTTAAAAATAAATAACAACATAAATAATACTTGCTTTGTCATGCTCATAATTTTGCATACCCTCTAGATCTTGTCATAACTTCATGGTTGATTAAGCATGTTTCTGATCTTGCTTTCAGTTTTGCGCACTTAGGGGCTGCTTGGTAACGCCCATGATTTGATTTAAGAATTTGTAAATATGCTAAATTCGAATTTCAGAAATCCTGAGGGACCTTAATTTTGAAACCGTTTGGTAACATTCATGATAGATATTATTAAATATCGTATGACTGTTTAGCTATAAAACGGATTTAACGAGCGTAATCTTCCTCTCAAGCAGAAAGATTTTGTAAATCCGGCAAAAAACATTATTTTGGAAATCCAGGTTTTAGCACGCAAAGGTGGAAATCTCAATGTCAGCTTTCATTTGTTGTGAGATTCGGTTTTGCATTTTAGGCCGTTTAGCTGGATTTTGCTCAAATCCGCTTCAAATCTGGCCTAATATTGCTACCAAACAGTCCCTTAAGATGTTTATTAATGATCTGGTCCAAAAAATTCGAGTTTGGATTGATTGTTTAATAAATTGGTCAGGCTCAAGACAAAAATTTTGACCCGTTTAATTTAATTTATGTTGACCTTGTGAATCAGATTTTGATCCGAAAATTACCCGTTTAATTTTTTTTTTCTTAAAATTCTTCTACATGTTGGTATAATCATCTTAGTTTTTATCAATTAAGATTAATTTTATAATTGATAAGTTCTTTTTTTTTAATCAAAATGGGTTATTGGTTTTAATGAAATTAACGTAGGTGCTATATTGTATTAAGGTTGAAATTTAGGTATTAAATATGTAAATAAAAAAATTTTGAATGATACATATAAATAAAAATAATACCCCACTCTTTTAGAAAAAGAAGGGTTAAAGTTATAGTGTTTTGTTTTGGAGAAATTATTCTGTCCGATTTATGGACGAATCAAGAGGCGCCACATATTTTTTTAATGTATATATATTATAACTTTAATTAAGAAGTGTTAAAAAAATGTTAAAATTCTGGAATATAATATATAAGATTGCACCAATAATCCCGCCCAAATAACGTAGTGGCTATTACCGGGTTGACGTTGCCACCGGCGGCCGCGAAGCTCCATTGCGGCAAATGGACTACAGCCTGGCGGCGCTGAAGCTCTTCTGCTGTCAGCTAAAGGATGCACGCCAGATCTCCTCCTCTCCTCCATCGATGACCCTCCATGGCATCCGCTTCCAACGAGCTTGGTGTCAAGTATCTCCTCAAACCCCCCTCTTCCAAATTTCTTACACGCCGCCTTCATAAACCCTAGATTTCGTCGCCAGGGCGTTGTGGTTTCAGGGCCTGACGAAGGGATTTTCCTCCTCGATGACGGTAGTGGTGTCGTTGAGCTCTCCCTCCAAGCCGAGTTCATGACCCTGGGATGGAAGTCGGGTGAGCCCAGACGAACGCCCTGTCCTCTCTATTCTATTCGCTTGCTTTGGTTTCTCTTTTGCTTTCATTCGAGTTGTTTTGATAATTATTTCGTTTTCTTCTATTCAGGGATGTATATCATGGTTGTTGGGCTCTACGTGGCTGGCGATCCTCCTCAGATCAAGGTATCTTTTTCATGTAATTTTCTGCATGGCATGCCTGGAAACGTGGAATGTAGTTGAAGTGAGACTGTTAAGATTGTAGAAGCTGAACAGCATACAGGTTGAGAAATACCGCAAGAGAGATGACGAACAGAGATAAGTTAGTTCATATGCTTCGTATCAGATTCATCTTACCCTGTATACAAGTATATGGTGTATATGTAGTTTGGTTATTGTAGTATAAGGTTGGTAGCAGCAGCTATCTCTACACATGTAGTCATGTTTGGACAGGATTGTTTACAGTAGTTTTTATCCTAAGGTGGGATGATAATGTAAGAGTAGTGGCTGCTATCATAGAGAGATGTCTGTCTCTGTTATGTGGTGGAGAGAAGGCTGTGGCTATTACCCCCCGCAAGGTGACTGTGGGTGGTTGATCGCCAGCTTGTCCCGAAGATGATTAAATCCTATGATGGAGAGCGGCTTAGTTAAGATGTATTCTTGTTGGTCTTGAGATTGAACTGGAACAAGGCGAATTTCTTTGGTTTGAATATGCTCCTGAATGAAATGATAGTCAATCTTTATATGCTTAGTTCGAGCATGAAATGTTGGATTGTGAGCAAGTGATATAGCTAAAGTGTTGTCACAATGGGGATCAGTTGGAGATGGTATAGGAATTTGAAAGTCTTGAAGAAGACGATGAAGCCATATTATTTAAGATGCAGCTGTTGCCAATGCTCGATATTCTACTTTGGTGGATGACCGTGCAACTGTTAGTTGCTTTTTGACACTACAAGAGATGAGGTTAGATCCTAAGTAGGAGCAATAATTTGTCGTTGAATGTCTTGTTATGGTATCACTCACCCAATCAAAATCCGAGGAGTGAAGAATGAGAGGTCCTTTGATGATTAGTAGTCTAAAATCTATGGTTCCCTTGATGTACCAAACTAGGCATTTGAGCTGGAGAGAACGAAGGGGAAGTGGTTGATGCATGTTTTGGCAAAGTTGATTGACAACGAAGGAAATGTATGGATAGGTGATTGTTAGATACTGAAGTGAACCAGTGAGGTGGTGGTATAGTGTTAGGCTGAATGGGGAAGTAGTGATAGAGGTTTGGATAATGATTTATAGGAGGACATACCTGCTTTATCTAGTATGGATTTGGCATAGGATTCTTGAGATAGAAATGGCCCTTTTGTAGTTTGGTGAATGTGGATACCTAAGAAATGAGTTGTCTACCCAAGATTTTTCATAGAGAACTTATGGCTGAGATTTTGAATGAGTTTGGAGATGGAATGTGAATTGTTTCCTGTGAGGAGAATGTCATCTCCATAAAAAAAATATGTAGAGGAGAACCTGATTTGTTGCAAGAACGAGAAGAGAGGGGATCAAGCAGATTGACATGACTTTGGGTGAATCTAAGGGAGAGAAGATGCTTGGAAAATATATTAAACTGCTGACGTGTAGCTTGTTTGAGACCATATATTATTTTGTGGAGAAGAGATATGTAGTTTGGATGTTGTGAATCTTGAAATCTTGGAGGTTGTGACATATATACTATTTCTTGGAGAGTACCATGTAGGAATGCATTGGAGACGTCTAATAGATGAATTGGCCAGTTGCGATTGAAAGCAACTTTTAGAAGAGTTTGAATGGAGGGCATTTTGGCCACCGAGCTTAAAGTTTCATCATAGTCAATTCTAGGTTGTTGACGGTTTCCTTGGGCAACAAGGTGTGCTTTGTAGCGTGCAATGGAGCCACCGGCATGGCGTTTTGTGCAGTATGTCCAGTGACAACCGAGAATAGCATGATATGAGGGTTGGGGGACTAGGCTTCAGGTGTCTTGCTATTGCAAGGCATGAAATTCAACAGCCATTGCATCTCTCCAATACTTATGTTTGTTGGCCTCGTTGTAGGAGGTAGGGTCAGGTATGGATGATGTGAGATGAAATATATTTAATAATGTGTGAGATTTTTGTGATCAGGTTTGGAGTCTGGTAACCATGTTGTGACGGGCTAGTGGAGATGGATTGGGCGTGGCAATTGGAGAGTTATGAGGAGTGGAGGAGTAGATGGATGAGAAATATTGGGGCAAGTAGGTAATGGGAGTTGAAGGAGAGGTCTGAGTAGTAGAGAGCAGTGGTTGAAGAAAAGTTTTGAGATGAGTCGTGGAGGTCGGAATAAGTAAATAGGAATTGGAAGGAAGTTGAGTGGGTGGAGAAGATGGAGGAGCATGAAGACAAGGAAAATGGGATTCTTACATGACGAGATATGATTATGTGATTTGTTTGCGGGTCTAGGCATTTGTATCCTATGTGATTGTTAGAGTAGAATAGGTAAATGCATCGAGGTGAGTAAGGGGCCAATTTGTGGCGATAAGGAGTGGGTGACAATGGAAAGCATGCATAGCTAAGATGTGGATGTGAGAATATTGTGGTTGTTAGTTGAAGAGTAATTGATAAGGAGATTTATTCTTGGTAGTAGTGGAGGATAGCATGTTGATGAGATAAATTGTGGTAAGAATTGTGTCAGGCCAAAAATGATAGGGAAGATTGGCTGCATGAATTAAGGTTTGGGTTGTTTCAAGTATATGATTATGTTTGAGTTTAGCAAGACCGTTTTGTTCAGGAGTGTAAGGGTAACTGATATGGTGGTTGATGTTGTGAGTGGTAAGAAAGTTATGAAGACTATTGTTGAGACATTCAGCTCCATGACATTTGATTTTGTAGTGTAGTTGGTTTTCTATAAATGTTTTGAAATGAATAAAGTTGTGGGAGATTTCATATTTAATTTTCATTGGAAAAAGTCTCACAAAGCGTGAGAAATCATCAATAAAAACATCATAGTATTTATAGCATTGAGTGGAAGTTACTGGGGAAGGACACATACATCATAATGAATTAGTTGTGACAGCAAACTAGTGTGACAACTAGATTTAACTATGGATAATGTTTGACCTTTAGAGGTCTTACATGAATGACAAGCAGAAACACTAGCAACAATAATTGAAATATTTTGATTGCTTTGGAGTTGTTAGCCAAGACTTGATGGTGAGGGTGACCCAGATGCTGATGCTAAATGCCAGAATGCACCACAGTTGAGATGGCTGAGTGGACTTGTTGAGGAGGAAGGGATTGAAGTGGATACAAATCATTACGGCATGGACCCGAGAGGAGAACTTGGTTGGTCCTCTGATCCTTGATTTGGAAGCTGAAAGCATCAAAGGAGATTAAAACATTGTTGTTAGAGGTAAGATTTGAAATTGAAAGAATATTGTGAGACAGTGGGGGAATGTGTAGGAGGGGAGAAAGTTTGAACTTACGATTTGGAGTGGGAAGCAGACCATTGCCAGTATTGGCTATGTATTAGGTTGCCAACTTTGATGTGATATGAGCCATTGTAAGCAGTGGGCTGATGAAGATTTTCTAAATGAGGAGTTAGGTTGGAAAAGGCACCGGAGTTAGTCTTCTACAAATCTCTTTGCGTGAATTAGCAAATTATATAAATCAAACAAATGAAATATTGAAATGAAACAATCAATGAAAAATTGAAAATACTAGAATGTCAATATGTCATTTGGATATTAACAATAGTTTAAAACATATTTCGAGTGATGCATAAAAACCGAATTGAGCCGAGTGGGTGCTTGGTAGAGCCTAAGCTCATTTTTCAAAACCATGTCCAAGCTTGAGCTTGATTCTAGCATATGCAGTAGTGTTCAAATTTAATTTGTTTAAAATTATGACTGTTTAAATTTGATTTATTTAAAATTCCTTTAATTTCTCTGCTCCCGTTATTATGCTGAACTCTAAAGATATGAAATGTCTTTTAGATTGCAACTGTCTGCACAAATTGATATTAGAAAAAGATTACTCTGTTGCATGATTAAGAGTTTAATATTACTTAAGGAAGTTAGGATGAGTGTGAAATAAAACATATAAAAATCTCACAATTCGTGGGTTAACAACTCATGAATTTATAAAAAAATAAACACTTTTAATGCAAAAATAGCAAATATGTTTCTTTTATTTCAAAATGTAATTTAATATTCATCCAAATTCTGAAAATGTACAAGAAGTTTGCAACTGATTAAGCTCTCACTTCTAAAAGAATATTAAGTACATATCTTACTCATTAAAGTTCGATTACACACACAAACGACCAGCTAAACAAATTAAAATAAAAACAAAGATAAAAATAACCAAAATGAACAATCAAATCTAATCTTGGTATAAGGTGACTCGCCATCTAAAGCAGTCATCCACACTTATGAATCAGTTGAAGAATATACATTCGACAAATACATGTAAGAGTAGAGGAAGAAGTTAAATTTTTATTTCAATACTAGCGATCATTTTGTAATGACCTTTTATTGGGATGTTTCGTCGCTTGCTTTCTTTTTTAGGCATCTCCTCGCTTACCATACTTTTCAGGTTGTTGGGTTGAGTCCATTGTTGTCCATGGAAAAACATGAAGATGTTACTACATTTTCAAATTAAGTTCAAGGAGGGAGAGAGAGAGAGAGAGAATCTGAGATTTTAGTTGAACAAAGTTTTGGTCAAAAAGATCTAATATAATTGTATCCTGCCCATGCTCAACCTTTGACCCTTCTTTTATTAGTACGAGCTAAGGTCAACTGTTCATGAAATACCAGAGGTTAAAATTGTATGAAAAGTATATGAATAGGTATTGTATTGCTTCTTCTGTAACGAACGAATCTAGCTAGTAGTTATTCATTAGATGAGAATTTCATTTAGTTCTAATTTGAGGGTGGTACTCTTAAAGTGTTATAGTAAGCACTCATAGTTAAGAAGCTCGGTACTAAGGGTTGAATGGCCTTCTTATTCGACTACTTCTGGTCTTAGGCAAGTTCCACATTGGTTTATGACTAGCAACTTCTTGTACAAGACTAAGGCTCTCATAATTATTTGATAAACCTGACCTAGATAAATCTAAGTGTGCACAAGGTAGGTCAGATGGGGACATCAGATTTCGACACGTGTACCATCGCCGGCGGCACAGATCGACGGCTATGATCCAGAGTCTCTATTTCTGATTTATTTACAGTTTATGTCATGTGTACTTTCTTTAGTTTTCCTAGTTTTCCCCTGAGGGCATTGTTTCGCTTATGTAGCCAAGCCCGAGGGCGTTTCTGTCTTTTCAGTTTTATTATTTTGGACCTCCTTATATGAGGCATCATGTATTGTAAAAGTTTAGTTTTTGATGAATGAAATTTTCATTGTGATCTCTTAGTGAGTTCTTGCGTGAAATTTCTCAAGATCTCTTAGTGAGTTCTTGAGGGAAGAGTTCTTTTATTCTCCTAGTGAAAGACCCTCCTCCCTCCACGGTTCTCTTACCTCCACCTCCCTCAGGTTTTTTTTTTTTTCCAAGACCCGCCGCCCATTCCCCTGCAGCCTCCCCCTCAGATTTTCACCATCCAATCCCTACCCGATCCCCCCTCCCCCCCTACCAGCCTACCGCTAGCTGAACCAGCTGCCAGCCCGACGTCCCCCTTCCCTCCGTTCCCCACCTGGCTCCACCACCGGCTGGAATCCCGTCCAGGCCAACAGCCCTCATGCCGGCACTCCCAATTTCCCAGCTTTGTCGCTGCCCCCTCACCCCACCCCCCCCCCATCCTCTATGAATTTCAAATTTCCTGGCATAATTGACTTTCCTAAGATAGCTTCTATCTATTTAGGAAATCATTCAGTGGGATTCAATTCACATTTGAATTTCAAACCTTTTTCCCTAAAACTTCCTTAATTAAAATCAATCTGAATTTAAACAAATCAGATTGCTTTTAATTGAGTTAATCCCTTGGGCCCCATCCAGCTAAATTCTGAGCCTCCCTCTCTCCTTATGGCCGGTCATATTATCCTTATTGTTTCTCTTCCTATCTGCCACATCACCACCTCTTAAATGCCTCCTAAATACCTTCCCCTCATTAACGTGATTTCAATTTTTTTTAGATTTTTTTTCAGATTTCAAATCTGAAATTGGAAATCAATTTCTTCCCTCTCCTCTAAATAAAATCTGAAATCAAATTTCAGCTTTCTTCCCTCCCACTAAATAACCCATCTCTTTTCCTTCTCCCACCACCACCCCAAGACCGGCCACCTCTTTTCCCTCTCGGGTACTCCTTCAACCCTAGGCAAGAATGCATGGCGGACCCCGAATTTGAATGGGGACTTGTGTTCGACGCTCACGGCAACTTCGACATCCAACAATCGCCGTTCTTCGACGCAGGATTTGATTCCGACGACGACACCGTTGGAACTTACTTGGATCGGATCCTACCGACCCTCATACACATCATCGACAAACAACATCCAGACTCCGAGTGGATCATTGACGGCCGCTCACCCGCTCCTCCAAGTCCGGCTTCTTCCCTGGCGACGAGTCCTCTCAGGATCACCTGTCTACTAGTGGCATCGCTAAGTGTACTTACGATCCTCCTCCGCTAGCCACCATTTTCAAAACGAGTGAAGGTCTTCAAGGTGAACGATCTAGATTTTAAATTTGAGGCTTCGTTATCATTAGCTATTTGCATTACCTAAATATTTAGTTGTTATTTTGCAAGTTACCGTAATCTCTACATGTGATTTATTGTCATTGCTAAATCTCTCAACGACGAATTCTTAACTCAATCTTGAGCAAGCAAAGAGTTATTTATTAGCAAGATAAATTTCCTCGCTTTTATTAATTTCTCAAAGGCAATTCTTGTTCAACGCATGTTGTTTCACATCAAGTTCCCTCGATGAATTTAATTGGAAGACTGAGGGGCTAACTCCCTCTGCTTAGCGTTTATTGATTTGCAAGAACTTCCATTGGTGTCCAAGGAAGCGCCCGTTAACTGTTGCACTTGCTATTGCAATTTTAAGGGGACGGATCACATTGTTGACAAGTGATGCAGAACATTTTAGTAAAATTGTTCCTTAGGCACATGTTAATTAGTTTGATACAAATTTGATATAGGATTCTATAATGTTCTTGATTTCTCTAGGTTTCTTTTGCTATCTTATAAAAATAGGACTTGTAAGAGGGAAGATGTATGAATATATTTTTGAGATTTTAGCAGTGTTTCGCTGTTTTTGTGTTCTAGCTCAGAGGAGCTTTATTTGAAATGCTTCTTCGTTGATCTCCCTACATCAATAAGTCTACCCATCCTGTAGGTGGCTTAACTAGCCTCTGTCAATCCTCAGGCTTAAGTGAGTTCAATTATCTAAGAAGTTAGTGCCCTTAAATGCCCCTTATGTTTGATTTACTTAACATTTACAAGCTCTATTGGTAAAAGAAACATCAAAAGAACTCATTTAATTGGATATAGATATCAAAATATTTTTGAGAAAAAAAAAATTATACAATTTTCATCTGAAAATCAAAATTATCTACTAAATTCAGTTCCCTGACTTCAAGCAACCGAATATCCACTAGCATAAAGTCCACTGCGGGTTTTAAAGAAAAAAAATCTTTTTTGAAATGCAGGTCCATAAGGTAGTTGATCTCTCGGCATACCCTGACCGTGAATCTCTATGGCATATGGAGGTCATTGAAGCTTACAATTTGTTCTACTCGACTGAAGCAGAATGTTGATTCAGGTTATTATGTCACTTTCTGCACACGTCTTTTGCGTTTTTATTTAGTGCATTTATGTTATATTTCTGCATTTTGGGTGTCCTAAATTAATTATTTTTAAGCTGGGGCTGTGCAAAAAAATTTCGGGTTTTAACTTTTGCAGCAATTTAATTGAAAGAAGTTTCTCATTTAAAAAAATTGGTTAGTGTATTAACTGTGATGCTTTGTAGTTAATTATCCCATTTTGCGGCTCATTTTGATTTGTTTGTTGGGAGTTTTGATTGCTTACTAAGTGATCTTGAATTTGAATCTTCCGTATGTGATATATGTGTAAATTTGTCTTAATTGACCTAAATGTCCAAAATAAAATAAAATAAAAATTATCCTAATTTCTTTGCGTCAAATTATTGCTATGCGTTTGATGCTCGTAACTGTCCGTGCGCCAAGTTAAGCATTACTTTATATTTGTTAATAATTTTCACTACAAACATACACTCTAGGAGGTTGTCTGGTTGCAAGCGTTTGAAGTGCAAAATAAGAAAAAATGCAGATTTTTTTTTTTAGTTTTTTAATGTTTGATATGAAGTAAATCAAATAAATATATGTGTAGGGCATTTGAAATATCTTCGAATGCCTATTTTTTTGATAAATTTTAAATTCCCCTAAATCAAACAAATTTTAAATATCGGAAAAACTCAAAGCCACCAATCTCACCTTTCTCAACATTGGTCGCTACTCGCTACACTTTGTTGTGACGCTTGTTATTGATGTTAGGCTGCTAGACATTGCCATTTTCCACAGCCACTTGCCTATTTTGGTTGTCGTCCTTAGGGCATCCTCAACAGAATGTTATTCGTCCGTTTGTAGCTCTGGCGAGCATTCACCCGAACGGTAAATGAAAACGTATTTTTGTATTTTATCTTGGATGTGACGTTCATGAAATCCATTTTTTCGTTGTTGTGTTACAGTACAAATAGAGAGAGAACATACACAAAATATTCTTTTTTTATGTTAAAAATAGAGTTTGGTTGAAGTTGAATTATTATTTGATAAATGCTACTGCATTTTGAAGCGAAAAATAAAAATTTTCGAGTGAAAATGCCCTTGGCCATTGCTTGGTAGTGTCTACTGTATTTCAATTCATTCAGAATGTATCATAATGGCTATTAAAACAAAATTCAATATATTTGATTTACATCCAAATAAATAATTAATGCATTTATAAGTATATGTATTGCAATTATATAATTTTTTTGTATTTTTAAAAACATTCAATTAAATATTTTTTTAAGCGTATTTGATTCATGTAGCAATCTCCAGCGCTGCAGTGCAATTTGCGTGGTTTGAGCACTGAAGACTAAAAGATTAACATAATGAGTAATTTTTTTTATTTCTGATAAAAAAAGATTATTTTCTTTAAATTTAAAAAAACCTACTTAATTAAGTGCGCTAAATTACGCTTATATTTTTTAGAGAAATTACTTTGTACGTACACTGGATTATTCGGAGCCGAATCACAGCGCGTCATGTCATTTGATACATGGTAGGTGCTCAAGAAAGAGGTGATGTGAGAAGCTATGATTCGCCTCCAAACAGCATTTATATCTGCAGATAATAATTTCATCATTTTTTACAGTAGAGAAGGTAGGTTTTGGGCGGCTAATGTACCAGAGGATATATATAAACGCACAGACCATCTCTATCGTATAAATATATGCATGTATATGTATCAATCTTAAAAAAAAAAGGCTTCATTTGGAATGATTTTCTTACTGTTTTTTAAAGTAATTTTATAGTACAAAAATTTGTTAACATTTTACTTTATAAAACAAAAAGAAATCTATCCCAAATAAAGCCTTTACCTTAAAATTTTGAGTGATTTTCAATAGTGCTCAAGCTTAGTACATAATTATCAATTCTCTTGTGAGGTGCAGTTGTCCATATTAGGCAAGATTATTAATAGCGGTCACCAGATGTTATCTGGAAGTCAATTAGGATGCGCCACATCACCAATATGTTGTGTATCATTACTATATATTATTGTGTATCATGTGACATGGCGTATCCTAATTAACCTCCGGACAATTTGGTGACCACACATAATAATCTCTCATAAGTGTGCCGATACAACTATTTTATTTCTTTTTGGACATAGTAATACTACAAGTTTGAGCATATATTGTTTGAAACCCCTTCAAATTACTGCTGTTGCTATCTATCTCCCTGCATCAAACTTAAACTTAGATTCATTAATCGCTTCTGCAAAGTTTCTCCACTGAACAGAATTGCTACATAATATGAAACAAATTGGAAGCATTTCATCCATTTTTACATAAAAACTTCGAGGAATAAGGTCTAGTTCAAGCCCCAAATAAAACAACTTTGCCAACCAAATGGCTAAAAACCAAAAGGGAGAAAGGACTGAAGAACCTCGTTCATGCTATCAAAGTATCCCTAATTATAATCTGCTTCAAGAACAACGACAGAGCATAAGAATAATCATCCAGTCAGAAAAGGTAAGATGCAAGCCGAATAACCAGCATTTGCAGCAACTGGAATTAAAGATTCACCATCAATTTTTTTTTTTTAATATAAGCTTTACAATTGATTGTTAATCTTACATCAATTCTTAATCATTTTCATTCGAATTAGGGACTGGAAACGTCGGTTTCAGCCAGAAAATGTCAGTCAAATATCTAATTTAAGAGAATTGCCCTTACTATGGAGACATTATTCTGTGCAGACGCCGAACACCGTCCGGAGATCAACCAGAATGAATCATATCGGTACTGCGGCTCAGTACCGCGCGGTATTGCTGACATGGCTCATTCTGATTGGTCTCCGAAAATAGAGCTGCATTGAGCATCCGCATAGAATAATTTATCCTTACTATGCCACAAAGTTACAATCCTGTCAATAAGAAATCAAGAGGTGTGGCTCTCGTTCGCCTAAGTTTAAGAAAATTCTATGTAGTTATGTAAAATTTAAAAATTTTCACCTTTAATTTCTCTTGTAATCAATTATATTATAGAAGCTTTTTTTTATTGCTTTTTAACTAAGCTTTCTATTATAAAAATTTTTTGTACTAAAAATTATTTTAAAAAGTTATAAGAAATATGTCCAAACAAAGCCTTAGCCCTTCATAAATTTTAGATAAATTCATTAGCCTTCTCTCAATTGAAATTCAATTTCAGTTACTAATTATATTGCCATTGTAAGAGGATTTAAACAACTTTCAGCTACATTATAATGCTAAACAGTCAAAATCATGGTGTTGGTTGAAAATGAAGTACCATGAGGAGTTTTTGTTTTGTTATTTATTTATTTTGCATGATCATTAACTTCTAATAGATGATAACAAGATAGTAAAGTGAAAATTATACCTCAACGTTTTGAATATTGAGGTGCTTTTCGAGCCTTCTTCAGTCCAACCTTTTTCCTTTCAACAACCCGAGAATCTCTGGTAAGAAGACCTTCCTTTCTCAGAGGAGCCCGGTGATTTTCGCTCATCTTGAGCAAGGCACGAGCAATCCCAAGAGAAATTGCCTGAGCCTGACCTGAAAGCCCGCCCCCATGAGCTTTAATGAATACATCATAGTTGGTCTCATAGCCGAGGGTGACCAAAGGGGTCCTTATGTACTGTAGCCATAAAGGGTTGCCTTGAAGATATTCCTGCAGTCAAAGTTATATGAACTGTTGAATAAAAGATCAAAACAAGAAGAGGATAGGAGAGAAAAAGAAAATTTTGAAAGTGGAATCTTCAAAAATGGGACAAAAGTAGCCTACTTAGTTCCCCTCTATATGATCATAACTATAATAGGACGTGGAAATCATCCATCACTTAATGAAGAAATTCATTGAAACTTTTAATTCAAGAAAGAAAGTATAAGGTTGATATAAGAAGAAAAAAAAAAGAGAAAAAATGGGAAAGCAGCATCCACCAAAAAAGGACAAAAAAAGATTACCCACTTCTCCATTATATAATCATAGCTTAATATGATTTGATACTTAAAATTTTAAAATGGTCACCAATGAATGAAATCTAGCACATATTGAAGCAATGAGGTGACAAAGAAATGCAAATAAAAAATAATAAATCTGGAAGTAACAGTATGGAAAAAAAGAGTAAAACATAAATTCAATCATTGGTCTTGCTAGTTCAAAGAATTAACACTTTTTTTCTTAAAAAACTCCAACCCTTCGATTAAAGATTTGATAAATGCTAGTATAGAATAAAATTTGATATGGTCTGGGAAATGAATTTTGGTCCCATCTATCCTAAACAGATGTGGGAGATTATTTATAGTCTCATCTATTTTATGCAGTGAGCAATTTAAGAGAAATTTAAGTGCAGTGGAGTTATAAGGGATTTGAGATGATCTCCTTCACCTAGTGAATCTTGACTGTAAGAGTCATAAGTAGAAGTAGAGTTATAAACAAGCATCGGGACATGCATATCACTATGCATATAACTGCATATTCTATCAAGAGAAATAAGTAGAATGCAAAGAATATTCTAGTAATGGAATGAGTTTATTAATGAAATGATGTTTTGAAAATAAATGTACTTTGTTATTCTTATACAAATAAATGCTTCAATGATGATGCGAACGACATTGCGTATTGTGTTATGTTCTGTTCTAAAAAAGGAAAGGGCCCATCAGAGTGAGGTCATAGGGAGCAAGCATATTAGATTTTCCTATTGAGGTACTTTTGTAATCTTGTTTTTATGTTTTAATGTGTAGAATAAATTTATACTAGACTCTTTGTATAGTATTCTTTTTGAAAAATAAAATTTGGAAAGATCCTATGTTATTTAAACTATATTGGGTTATCATATGGCTCTAGTGTAGTATATTGTGATTGAGAAATATAGGCTTAGGAATTCAATTCTTCCATTAAATCCCGGGCTGTCACATTTTAGTTCTTCATAAAGGAAGGAAATAACACTTCTGCGATCTAGAAAGTGGGAGAACAAGTATCTTACAATGTGTTTGTTTGTGGCATATACTCACTTCCTATCTACTTGAACATAACAATCCAAAGTCCGAAGCTAAACTTCTTATATACAAATTATGTGCTTGAAACGCCTTCCTTACTTTTAAAAACAAATCAAATAGCCAAACAAACTCATTACCACCACAACTTACTTTAATTTTCGGCTTGCAAACAATAAAACATATCCCAAATTCAAATAATTTAAACTTAAAAAAAAAAAAAATTTATGAGGCCCTAATATGATCTGTCTTCAAAGTCATAATAGCCTTCCAAGGTCCATGGTTAATCTCTTAAATAAGTTTTAAATTCATTATATGTTAGGAATATCAAGCTAGATTGTTATGGGTAAAGCCCTAGCACATGCAGCTAGTAATCGAGCTCGATCCCTAAAAGGCACCATGCTATTATAATTCAATTTTTTATATCACGCTATGGTGTCTAAGTCTTCAAGCACAATACAACTAGTTCTAAGCCAGGTAATCACACAGTTGTTGGAATTCCTAAATCTAAGCAAGAAAGTCCAAAGTATAACAAGGCCATATACAACAACCATAACTTTAAATTCCCTTGTGCGGAAAAACATAGAGCTTAAATGAGAAGAAATAGGGTTGGCATATAGTTGTATAAAGATTATAAGAAATTCTAACCCTAGACATATCACTCTCATCCTGCTCCTATTATCTCACCACATTATTTAACTTGCAAAGTATTTCTAACTATCGATTCCTCACTCAATCTATTCCTAGCCTTTACAATCGCAAAGCTCATTCAAAAAATCTAACTTTTCAGTACTAGGCTATGCCAAATGAGAAAGTGGTAAAATACTAAATCATGTCTAATAAGGGAAATTGTATCCGCTTGAATAAGCTAAATAATTATTAGCACAATTGTGAATGGGAAAAAACAACTCACTTCTGAAAAGTACAAAGATATCTCTTGAAGAAAAGTTATGCACAATAAGTAAGAGAATGTGCTCGTGAATCAAAATGAATCAATTTTTGGAGAGATGACTACTGGTTAAGAGCAAACTATTCAATAATCAATAAGCAGGTAAGTGCTCAAAGTAATTGGCTTACATAACATTATCCCATACATAATAATTTAATACTAACATCAAAGAATCACTTAGTAGATCGTATTTATCCATGAGTAATGAAAGGCATTTACTGATTAACAAAATAACCAATGGTTCATTAGAGCATTACAATTAATTAGTGAACTAACAGTATCAACCCCACTAAAACATCATCCACATCATTAGTCTCATGTCAAATAATTGAGGCCGGTTTTATGAATCTTCAGTTTCAATTCATTCATGCTAAGCGCTATCTCATGTGCTAACTATATCTTCAGCAAATCATGTTGTTCAACTTTTATCCAAGTAATCCTTTCTCTTTTTAATTCACCATGTTAATTATATACATTCATCTTATTGATGCATATTCTACCACCTCTTGTAAAGTTCCACAACCACATAAGGCCCTTAGCTACTACCTTATCCTCAAAGGTGTTACTCCCACTGTTTTTTTTTTAATATGATAATCTCATACTATGTCCTGCCTAATTATACCAAACGTTCATATAAACATTCTTATTTTTATCACATTAAATGAAGAAACATTTATTTGGTCCATTTAGTCTGTTAGCCAGCACTACTATTCAGCTTAATCCCACTTAATCCGGCAAAATGAAATGATAATTTGAGACTACCCTAATGATTCTATGATTGAATAGCATACCACTCAAGTAAGATTAAAGAATTTGCATTAAAGGAAACAAGCTCCAAGATACTTCAGGTTCAATAATTTCATCAATGGCATTTTTGTTTTTCACAAATGAAGGAAATGACACTTCTCCAATTTAGAAAGTGGGAGAACAAGTCACTTCCAATGTGTTTGCTTAGTTGTAGCATATACTCACTTCCTACTAACTTGAACATAATAGTCCACAGTCAAAAGCCAAGCTTCTTACATATAAATTATGTGCATGAAGAACCAAATAGCCATATATACTCATTACAACCACAACTTCCTTTACCTTCCACTTGCAAACCATAAACACGCCTAAATTCATATCATTTAGCCATTGCCACAAAATATTTTTTAGCGCCCCAATCTAGTGTCTTCAAAGTCATAACAATCATCCAATGTCCATAATTAATCTCTTGAATAATAGATTCAAATTTATTATATGTAAGAAATATCAAGCCCGGTTGTTATGGGTTAAGCCATAGCATGGGAAACTAGTAATCGAGCCTGATCTATAAAAGGCACCATGCCATTAGAATTCAATTTTTATCTCATGCTATGGGATATATGTCTTTAGGCACAATAAAACTAGTTACGGCTAAGTAACCACTTAGTTGTGGGAAGTCTTGACCATACCAATGCTATATACTATAAGTATAACTTAAAATTATCTTGTATGTAAATAAATGGGGCTTAGATAAATAAAAAAAATACAGTGCTTAAATGAGAGGTAAGAGGGTTGGCATTCAGTTCTATAAAGATTAAAAGTTATTCTAAATCAAGATATGTGGCTCTCATCCCACTCTTTCGTCTCACCCCCTCTATTTATCTTGCAAAATATTTCTAACTATCAATTCCTTACTCAGTCTATTCCTAGCATCTCCAGTTGCAAAGTTCATTTAAACCTAGAAGTAAAACTAACCTCCAGCCCCCACCCTCACCCACCCACCCACACACAAACACACATACATACACACACACACACACACACACAAAACTCTGGATATCTCATAGACTATCCAATTTTTTTTTCAGAATTTAATCATGTCTATCTCTCACCTCCTTTGCTCCTCATAAATTTCACATGCCTCAATTTTGATTTATGTAAGAAATGTATGACAGAATACTATACTTCGTATGCACCTCCTCCCGGTTTCAAGACCATAAGAAAGACACTTGCATAAAAGATTATTCATTTCCATTACATCTGATCGAGACTTCATTTTGTACCACGCAACACATCAAGGTAAAAGTATAGCATTACAAAATAGAACCTAAACTTGCCTAGTGCATACCTCTGGTACATCCTTTTGTCCTAGTTATCTCATTTTCTTTGAAACTAGTCATCTCCTTTTCGTCAAACATGAACACGCAAGTAGATTGTCTCCACCCACACAACATAAAACTAAACAAGCGATATACGCTTTTGCCTATAACTGCACAGATTCGGAAAAGCAGAAGCAGAACCAAAAATACTAATACTCAACAGCAAGGGTATGAAACATTGCAAACCTTGGCATCACGGTAATTGATGACGAACTTGCCCGTGCCCTCTTGAAGGACTACACGAGCAATGGCGCATTTCCTCCGCCCGGTCCCAATGATCTTCTGAGCCGCAAATCCTCCTGGAAGCCTCGACTTCACGTACTTCTCCAGGCTCATTCCCTCAAGGTAGGGCACCGCAGAAATGGAGGCAGCGGCCATGGATGAAGAGGAGGCAACTATCGCGGAGTGGGACAAGCTCTTCCGCAGAGGGAAGGCATCGGAGAAGAGGCGAGATCTAGAGATGGAGAGGGTTTGGGTCGTCTTTGAGGAGATGTTCGAAGAGAAGGACAGAGAGGAGAAGGTTGGGATTAGAGAGCAGAGAGCGAGATCCATTCTCCAGTATTGCTTCCGCTTGCGTCGTCCTAGTGGTGATAAGTGCTAAGTTGGGGGATTTACATAAATACCACCGAGTCTTATAAATTCTTAAGAATTATATTTAATTTTTTAGAACATATATATATATATATATATATATATAATATTAAAATCAGTGGGAGCAAATATATTGTCACAACTCGGATTTGGAAGACGATAATATATAATCTGTACTTATAAAAAAGAAAAATACATAAATTAATAATATAAACTAATTCCTAAAAAATAAATAAAGTAAAAATTCATTTCAATAAATATTTTTTTATTCATTTCAATATATATACATTCATTTCATTAATAGGAATTTACATAGCAGTACATCAAAATAATAGTACTGATACAAGCAAAAGAATATAACTAAAACAAATAACAAGAAAGAAATTTCGAACTCACATAGCAAATATATAAAGGTCTACTACAAAATATAGTCTATTACTTATAACTACTTTTTAGGTAGAAATCCATCTGGCACTATGACAAGACTCGCTATGTAAAAGTATGAACGAATGAGTTTAATAAATCAAATTTAACAAGTAATTCTTATTTATTAAAACATAAATGACAAAAGAAGTGGAGCAAGCAGTATGAACAACCAAAATGTGATAGTACTAACATATAGTTCACTATATCACAGTAGCAATGAGACGTTATGTTTCACATGATAAATTTTTATAACGCAACCAATGCATATATCAAACTATTACATACATAATATCATTCTAATGTAATCATGTTGAGTATCATCATACTCCCAAGCGACTTATCAATCATTTATGCTTTTTAGCTCAAGATTATAT